CGCCGGTAGATGAAGTAATATTTATTCTACTCACAGATATTTGAGAATTACAATACATACAAATAATATTCTATACAGCTGTGGCCTGTGATCCTATTCAAACTATTATTTATTTGTGATAATGGTTTATTATCAGTGTGCAATTTATCTAATTGCTGGAAATATCGATTTAAAAACACAAAAACCATATAGGTTCGTCTAATTTGTATTTTTTTAACCGTAAACACATCTAAATATCATACTGTAACATTAAGAAATACTACCAATAAGTGCATCCACATATATTTAATCTAAGTTTACCGTGCATGTGCATTTTATAACTTTTTGAAAGTTTAGGAATTACGTCATACAGCAGACATTAAAAAAAAAAAATATTTTCATTGCAATTTTATAAAAACGAAAACACAGAGACTCCATGATTGGTATTATGTCCATTACATTACATTAGTATATAGATATTGCTTATTCCACGTTTTCAGCATTGCCTATAGGTAATATAATAACTGAGTTAAGAAATGTAATATATTAGTTATTATTACGATATTGCACTATTAATATTATAATAATTTAACGTTGGCTGTTTTGAAACACGATAGATAAAACTCAAAGCATATTTGTACGTCATTATAAACTAATTGGTCGTGTACGTTTTTAATAAGCCACCGTGGAGCAAGTTGATCTTGCGGGCGTGTTCGAACACAAGCAAGTCGGTGGTGGTCTTAACCCCTAAAACCGTTATAATACCCACCTATGCTTTTCACACACACACACACACACACACACACACACACACAAATCCCCACTTATCACCCGCGTGCTACATTCGTCTTTCTGCCGGACAATTTCCTCGCGGGACGTTTTCAAAAATGTCTGTCCACCGCCACTAATACCGCAACGAATACCGCCAAACCACCACGACCACCAACTATATACAACCTCCATTACTATCGCCACCACAACGCCCCACCCGTATCAGCTCTACCCACCCACCCCATCGTACTTCAAGTCCAATTTGTATTAGATCCCCGAACGTTACACCGGACAGGCGACAGCGTATTAACCCGCGGCCCTCTCGTATTGTAACGTCGCCGTCGCCACAAAACAGCTGTTTGAGTGATAAATCTTAAACGCCTATAACCTATATCCTATAATATATATCATAATCCTTCGGAATGTTACCGCTTGAAACTGTTCACCTATATCTCCGCAAAGCACGACCGGAGTACCCACCTGTGCAGGTTGCCGTGTCGCTTGCAATAATATATTATATAAACACGGTATCAAACTTGCTGAGTGTGCCGATTTCGATATCAATCGTAAGAAAACGATTATAATATTATTAATCATTATTAGTATTTTGTCAAAGTAAATCTGTACTTATTATATTCGCGTTATATTATATGCTCGAGATGACCGATGACTTATATGGGGTGGTAATGGCATATTGTTTACATTATATTATTATACAGTGTCATTGCAAACTCGTAAAACTTCACTGAAACATATAATGACCGGTGTACTAACTGTCTGTATTGCTTGTAGTTATATCAATATTATTTACGTACGTTTGACTTCAGATACGCTTTACATCCAAGTAGTTAGTAGATACAACACATGGGTAAGACACGCGCAATGTTGCTGTATTTTTATAATTTTAGGTACTTCCCAATATTTTGGACTTGATACAATTTTCGTTAAATTTATAGCATTATATATTGATAATACATAAATAATGAAATATCTGTAAATTAACAAAATTAAACCATTTTTATCACATCGAAATGAAGCCACCGTTTTTCCCAAAAAAGTACACCATACAAGTAGACCAATTGAGTAATAATTGGTTAAATCGTCGTCACTGTCTCTGTATAATGATATGAAGTCACATAATTTTAGTTTTAGTTTTTTTTAAATCTGAATGTTCTAATTTAATAAAGATGTTCCGTATTTCGTATTATTATTTAAATTGTAAAACTACATATACTTAACTCTGAATATGGTATTAAAAATTACCAATTAGCTACCAACAATCTTATAATAAATTGGAATTTTATATGAATATTTTACTAGTATATAGTATTGTTATATATATAAATGTAGTGTTTTTATGCAAAATTAGTTCATAAAATGGATATGATTTAATCCAGGAATATTATTAATGTAGGTAATAAATAAAGAATGATATAAAATTATCTATTTAATTAATGAGAAATTAATAATGCATAATATAATATGTTATTAGTTGAAGGAAAATATCACTTCTAACCTTGAACCTAGGGTCAATAAAATCCAAAATCACCAGAGTAAACTTTTATTTTAGCTTAGAAAAGTATATCGTTTCTAGTCGACGCGTGTGTGTCGTTGAACAATTTCTTTTAATTATTTCGACAAAGTTTTGACTTCTTAGATGGTTGAAATGTGGTTAGAAGGACGTGGCAAGAAACAGTTCAACGAGGGATAGCCATTATGAAAGGAAACTGAGCATTCGAACAAAGGTAACTTTTGGAAGAAAAGCTTTTGAAAAAAAAACCAACACAAAAACATTACATAGATATAGACGTAAATATATAATATTATCAAGTCGTCAGTTCTAACGTCAATAACATATTATTGAACGTTTCATTATAGTTTTGACCAATATTATTAAGGTTGGATGCAATGCGTTAACTAAGGGTAGTACGCATCGTTTCAAAGTGTGTTTCCCTGAGGATATCTTAAGGTGGCCATAGCTACAGCCTACTACAAATATAATTTAATCCATAATAATTAATATTATCAAATACCAACACCAACTTTCATAATATAAATTCAAAAGTAACACTGTCAGTAACATACTTGTTACGTTTTTGCAGCTAAAACACTGAACTATTTTTGATGAAATTTTGTATGCAGATATTTTGAATTCTGAGAACTCATAAGGGGGGTGAAACTAAATAAGCACTATAATGTCATTGAAAGTCAACTGTGTGGATAGATATTTTAAATTTGGAGTGGGTATTGATTTTATATTGTAGACATCATTTAGGAAGGTGTTTCTTAGAAATTAATTTATAAGGGTTGGCAATATTTGTATGATAAATAATATGTTTATGGTGAAATTTACTTAAAACTGGGTATTAATGTTCTTCGGCACTATTAATAAAATTCACTTGTCTTGAACTAGCTTCCTTACTCATTATCATTCTTCATAAGAAAAATTACTGATATACGAGAGAAGTCACGAGAAATAGCTAATATGTATATATTTATATTTTAGTTCAATATTAATATATTATTAAACATTTTGTGAACCATTTTTGAAAATAATGCTCTCTATAGTCTCTAGTCTTTATTATAGAATACTACCAGGATATAGATATTTGATGACGTAAATAGTTTTGGGCTTATTTTAACTTTTGAAAACTTTTAGTAAAATATGTAAAAATTATCTCAATTTTGTATGTAAATCGGCAGAAAAAAAACATAATTTGTATGCGAACTCAAATTATTGTTTGAAGGATTTACGGTGCCAAATTAAATTATAAAAGTTATTGTTATCCTTTGGATTAAACATAAAATAATAAATATGTTATATTTATAAGGATTTTTTCGTACATATTAAGCGAAAAAGTTTTAAAAGTGTTAAAAGAATAATCAACAATTTCTGAATACAATGATCTAAAATGTTAAACTTAAATAGTATAATATTGAATTAGATGAAATTAAAATAATTGTCCCTAGTTTTCAAATAAACATTTAAAAATATATTTTAATTAGTTAAATACGTTTGATGACGAAATATGTATTATCGCATATTATACCATTACGATGGTGAATTAATTTGCATGTCATTGTTTAATTTTTAATCATATTACAACATTAATGATTTCGAATACAGCAGCAAAATAAACGCCAAATCATATTTTAAAAATCAAAAAAATCTATGAGCAAGTTAGTCAACATAGTCTAGAAACATAAATGAATACGTTACATCAATAGCACGTCAGAAAAATAAGTTGACAAACCTGGATGAAAATGACATTTTTGTTTTTTGCGCAGTAAATATTGTTATTAAAAAGGTCGGAATCAAAAATTACCTAACTGTTTAGTAAGTGTAAGTGATTCTTAATGTTGGGGAGTCAGTTTTTTTTCGGGGGGGGGGGGGGGGGTTGGCTGGATATATAAGGTAGTTCGACCAGCCAGCTGGTATCAGCTATAATGGTGTAAGCATAGCATATCATAGATAATATATTGTCTATGAAGCACAGAAATAATAATTTAGTGTTTATGTGTGTAATTTACTCGTTGGGAGAAACTATGAAATGTGGTAGTATAATGAATATAACTTTTTATATAGATATAATTTAATATTACATAATATGATATATTATACAACTTGGTTATTGTTTAAATATTAAATGTTAAAATTTGCCTGCCTAAAATCTTGTACGCCCAGAAAAAAAACTGAACTCTCCCCTGCCGTAATATAGATTGTAGGCGTTAGGCGTGTAGCAAAAAAATCAATCTCAATAACTTTACAATATATGAACAATTTAATTTTAAACAGTTTCGTGTTCATGTAAAATATTTTAAATAACGCAATTATAGAGTACAGTACGTCAACGACAGCACATGTTATTGCACAAGTAACGAACAGCGAGAAAAATAATATCTGGCCAGATGACTAAGCATTTATTTGAGTTGGCAATAATAGTGATACTAGTGTAATAGTGTACTAATAGCGATAAGAAATTAAACTTCGCAGAGAAGATACCAGCTGTTAGAGATTTTATTTTTCAAACTCCATATAGTCAATAATAATGTATAAACCATGCATCCAAAAACTGTAAGAACACCGTGAAATTTGAAAAAAATCTTGACACGTTTTGGACTAACTAAAATTCAACTATTTTGTGCCAAGGTGAACGAAGGCATGAACAAGTGCCAAACATATGGAAATCTATAAATTGTTAGATTATTTTTTGTTTACTTATTGTAATATACATAAATTATCTTCTAACCTGTAGTATCATCGGTTGCGTATTTATTTGGCACATGTAACTTCCAGTATCGTTTTTTTGAACATTGATCACGTGCAATTTCCAAGTATTATGTCCATTGTGAGTGACACTCAGCCTATGATTGTGAGCAATCAAGTTCGTGTGGATAGCTAAAATTGCTTTGGAATCCGATTTTATCCAAGCCACCTATATAAATATAATAAAATGTAAAAAAAACAACTTATTATTATTTTATCTTGTAGCAAAGTGTAATGCATTAGAATATTAATATATTAACATAATTCAAATATATTTATTTTTTAGGGTGTCGGTCATTTTCTTTTGGAGCAGTGCAAATTCTTCAATTTTCAACTTTGAGAGTGATTTCTGGTAGAAATTTATCTAGTTGGTATTTTATGGGGTAAAGGTAAAAAATTCCAAGTATGTTTCAAAATAACCCTGGAATTCAACGGTGAAAAATTCGTGCAAATCAAATTTGATTTTGTTTTTTTTTTGTTGTGACTCAAATAAGAATAACTTTAAAGACTTAAAATGCTTACTTCATATTCATATTAAAATAATTTGTATATTATTAATAGACGTGAAATAATTTTCAAAATATTTTGGCTCTTTTTGTGATATTTTTGTGATATTTATATGTATTTTAAATGTTTTATACTCAGAAACTCTTAATGGTTGCAAGGACTTGAGAATTTGTATAATTATGGTTGTACATATAGGTATCATTGTTTTTAATCACAGAGACTTTTTTTAAATATTATGACTAATTTTAAGCTATTTATGCTATGAAGTTCTTCACGTCAATCGCAAGTATATTAACGTAAATCTTCGTTAATTTAAATAATATATGGTATTAAATAACAAATAATATGATATAATCGATTTTTAAGTAATCTTGTATATATTTGTGTGATTGAAATGATAAAATAAGTATAATGTAAAATATTCCAAGCTTGCACACCGTCCCTGCTTATAATCGTTTTTCACAAACAATGATTTATCATAGAATTCAAATTTAACACATCCATTACAGTGTGACCTATCCATTTAACACATATTTTACAGCAGAGTGATACACACTTGCCCACGTTTTTTGTATTGCCTAGTCAGTGTTATAATGATAAAATAAAATAATAAGTTATTCAACAAAATTAGAACAATATAATATTGATAACTGAAAAATGCAAAGGAAATTTCTAGGAAAAAAAATAATGTTCATACTAAAAATTAATATATTAAAAGTATGTATCTAGGGATTAAAATATTAACATCATCTTTTATAGAAATCATTACGTAAAATCAATTAAGTAATTTATAAAAAAAATTCAATTACATAAATTTAAATGTTTAAATGCTCCAATTCCACTAACATTAACAGTACTAATTATCATTCCTCCTCATCGTTGCTTTGGGGTTTGACCATGTTTGGCGTGAAGGCCTTTTACACAAAATTCAATTTTTTCATATGTCCTGTGACCTTATTTCTTATAAACAAATCATTTTGAATCAAACCATATTTTTCAGGATTCTGCGACGACGAAATGTCCAATAATTTTATAATTCCTTAGCATCATTACTTTGTAGACCATGTACTTTCTTATTTATTATTGTTTTTATAGCATTTTCAGTACTATCTGATGAGATGATCGTATGTTATTTACCGTAACATTAGTACCAAATCATTTGTGATCAAACTGGTGGATTGATTGATGTCGACCATTGATCAATTTTACTATATTATATTATAATATATCGTATTAACCTTATATCACATTCCCTATTGAATAAAAACCGTATTGATATGAGTAAAATTGTGAAGAAAAATGTGACGTAAAATCTAGTATTGTCGTCGATGATTGTATATTGAATTTGTGTTAGTCAAGATAAAAAAAAAAATTGAATCAATAGACATCGAATAGAAAAAAAAAACTCATCCATTTCAAGGTAAAACTCGACGACGAGATTAGCGCAAGCAGATACACTCGAGTTGCACATATTTATATACGTATGTAATAGTGTAATAAAGTTATACATACTGATGAAAACCCTGAAAAACGAGGCACGCCGGAGCGTCCCTTATTATCTCGGGTCTGCGAACGCGGTACGTGACCTCAGCGAAAATAAATAAATAATATTATGTTGTTAAATAAAATAACATATCGGGGAAAAAAATCTTCGGCGGTTTGGACGGTGGACGACCACAAGGAGTGAAGGGCGCGTGACGTTTTTAAGTCGATCCGAGATCGAGGGTCTATGATATTATTATTATTATATAATATTATTCGGCGCCGCCCGATAATAATGTTATTATAACGAACCGCGCGTATAAAACACGCTGCAGACAAAGAACCCAATCAAGCGCCAATACACGCCGCGTCTCCTTTTCTTCCATCGGAGGATGCTCTTCACACGCACACGCGCGCACACACACACACACACACACACACACACACACACACACACACACACACACACACTGATACACACAGTACCTTGGGATTTTTATTATTGGATTTGTTAAGATCGCCCACGGAGTTTTCCCCTAGCTGCGCGAAGGACGCACGTGGTTGACAGTTGAACCGGAATTCGGCACGCAACTTATTCGGTCGAATCCCCGAGCACACCCGGTGTACATAATATTATTATTGTTGTTGT